GTGTGTGTGTGTGTGTGTGTGTGTGTGGTCCCCCGGGCTTTATTGAAGGAGGAGGTTACAGCTGTGGCTCAGTGGGCAGGATCGATGGAGGAGGAGGAGACAGGCGCTCCTCTGCCTCCCGCTTCACTTCAGAGTACAGAGACAGGAGAGGAAACATGGGCACCAGGAGCACGCTGACCAGAGGCAGGCTTTTATTTTGAAACGTCTCTGGAACAGCTCTCCACAGAAACACTTTTATTTTGTAGATTTAATTTCATATTTAAAGAAATAAAGATGACCTGCTCAAGGATCGTGATAATTAACCGACTGATGCTCGGGGTCGTTGTGGCGATGGGGATGGTCCAGGTGGAGGCAGCACGGGTGGTGAGCGGTGAGTACTGCAGTAATCCAATTACTTTTTAAACAGTGTGGCTCTTTTGAGGCGTGAAAAGTTTCCATGTTACAGAAACCTCAGTGTTGCAGCTCGCAGCGGCGCAGGCAGCAGCTCATCCTGCTGCACTTCATGTTTTCCACTCTGAAGGGAAACCAGCAGCACTGGTTTAAGTGGAAATACAGTTAAACCAGTGAAAAGAACCATTAATGTAGTGAGATATGTGACGTGATCCCAGAGAGTCATTCACTGAAATCTGTCAGCCTTACAGGGATGCTCGTCCACCAAAGTACACATGTGTGTGGTGTGTGTGTCTGTGTACACATCTGTGTATATGTGTGCATACCTGTGTGTATAAATGTGTGTCTACGTGTGTGTATAAATCTGTGTATACGTGTCTGTGTGTATGTGTGTTTATATGTATGTGTCTTTATACGTGTACGCATGTGTGTATACGTGTGTGTATACGTGTGTGTGTCTATGGCTTTGATCACATTAAAGAATTTCTGACCTGTGCAAACATCATCTGACTGTGATCAGAGAAATGAAAGAGCTTTGTTCTTCTGTCAGGGTGAAACGTGACACCTGATCGAAGTGAGGATCGAGTCACACAAACCACTGCGAGTATTCAAACCATCACCTTCATGGCAATGATGACACGCGGCCATCAGTTCAGATGCCTTCAACAGATTCGATAAAATAAACTTCACTTTGTGTCATATTTGTTGTCTGTTTGAGTCCTAGCTGATTTTCTGTAGACACTCACTACGACTGCTTTGTGTGTACATCTGGAGCTCCTGCAGATGTCAGAATACAGATGCAGCAGACAGATTGAGGAGGGGATAGGAGGCAGCCGCCCCCACAGCCAGGCGTGCTCGTACACACTCTTATGTGCGTTCTTGAAGCCGATGTTTTCAAGGTTTAGTAAAAAATTTTTTAAAAAGATGGGAGGTGAAGCAGAGTGCAGACTGAAGGTTCAGGGGACAGAGGAGGGGCGATGTGGGATTTGCAGGCCTACCACTGGGTGGTGTGTCTGGTGTAAGGTTTGCAGGTTTGTAATGGGTCATGTGGCCAGCTGATGTTTCAGAGATCTGTTCGATTTATCAGAGGAGCAGCTAAAATACCTGAACCACAGGCAGCAGGAACGGGTGGAGGAACAGTGGGTGGAGGGATGGGTGGAGGGCGGGCTGACAGCAGACAGATATATATGGAGCTCTTTAGTGGCTTTAACAGTAAAGTGATGATGGTGCAGAAGACACTCCAGCTAATCACTTAAAGTAGTGAAGTGTGTGTGTGCGCAACAGTGATTAACACACTGTTGCGCACACACACACACACACACACACACTCAGTGCTGCTCTGATGCATCTTCCTGTGGGCGGGGCTCCATGTCTCAGGTCAGACAGTGTGTGTGGGCGGGGCCGAGCGTCCCTGCTATAAGATGGCGTACTTCCATGACGTGTCGAGCCGCGTCGCCTTCAGCGAGGCGCGTCAGGCCTGCGAGATGGACAGAGGAGCGCTTCTCAGCATCGAGAGCTCGACGGAACAGCGAGACATCGAGCACCTGCTGCAGGTGAGACCCACACCTGGTTCTCTCTAGACCCTCCCCTCCTTTTTCTGTGACCCTTTCTCCTTGTTTTTGTTTCCAGGAGCTGCGTTCAGGTGCGGTGGACAGGGCAGGAGGGGGCGGGGGCATAGCTGACGGGGACTTCTGGATCGGCCTGACTCGGGTGGAGGGAGTGGATCAGACTCAGTCGGAGCTCAGCAATGCCTTAACTTCCTGTCCGCAGCTCTACCAGTGGACCGACGGCAGCGTGGCCTCCTTCAGGTGAGCGTGATGTCAGAGCTGTGCCAGGTGACTCCCGGCATGTTTTACTAAAGGGGGTGGGTTGGGCTTAACCAACTGTGCTGATGATGCAGGAACTGGTACTTCGATGAACCATCCTGTGGAGGTGAGGCCTGCGTTGTCATGTACCATCAGCCAACTGCGCCTTCTGGTCTGGGCGGGGCTTATCTCTACCAATGGAACGACGACCGGTGCAACATGAAACACAACTTCATCTGCAAATACAACCCAGGTGCCATCAGCCAGTCAGCTTCAATCATAGATAAGCAGCCCTGGTGTTGTCAGCCAATCAGCTTCACTCACTCAGGTTCTTTACTTCCTGTCTTTCAGAGAGCCATCTGGTGAATGACATACCTGGTGGGCAGGATACAGGTAAGGAGGAAGGTCCATATAAGATCATAGAGGCAGGTGGAGCCATAGGTGGGACTCACCTGCAGCTCTGTATTAAGGCACAGGTGTGTTCTTGTGTCCATAGCAGTAACTGCAGGTGGAGGCGTGGCCACACAGCCTGCAAACAACGAAGACATTCCACCTCAGGTCACCATGGCCGGAGCTTCAGGTAAGAAGACCTGCGACCTTTGACCTGATCTGGGCTCATGACCTAATGCTCAGGTGGTCTGGTGTCTCTGCAGGTATGCTGCTGCTGTATGTCGTCATCCCCACCATCCCCCTGCTGCTGCTCATCCTGGTGGCTTCTGCCACCTGCTGTTTTCAGATGCTCAGCAGAAGGTAAGACATGCAGAGCAGCTACGAATCCCATCATGGTCCTCTGCCGCTGCAGCGTTTCCTGTATGATTGTAATGAGTCAACTTGTTAACAAGCTGATTTACAGCAGCTCTGAGGGGACGTTTGGTGGGGATATCGAGTCCTGATGCTTTTAGGCAGGAGTCAGGTTTGGTCCTCTGATGCAGTCCTCACAGTGATAGAAAGACCAGCGTGTGTGTGTGTTGCTGGCATCAGTTCAGGAGTCTACAGCAGCAAAAAATCTGCTGACTTGCGTATTTTCGTTGGTTCTGTTCCCACTTTCCTCCACGACCCAGCTGGGTCAACTGAGCTCACCACTCACTCCTTAAAGCTGTCGAATCAGAAGCAGCGAGGCAGTGCTGGCTGACTCCAGTCCTGCCACGCTTCAGCTGAACCAAAGCAGCTGTTTGCTTGCGAGATGGAGCTCAGTGTTGGAGCCTGATGGGGTCAGAGGTCAAAGGCAGATGATTAGGTGTGATAAATATCGCGCCTCTAACGTGGATCTGTAAATGCTGCAAAGCTCATGATGACCAGAGTCTGCCCCTTGGCAGGTTTCCAGATGTTTTCTATTTAGAGAGTGGGCTTAAAGGGGGAGGAGCTAGAACAGCTTGTTTCAGACAGAGTGTCAGACAAAGAAGGATTATTCTGAACATTTCTGACTTTTTCCCTGCAGCAGGGTAAGCATAGCTCCCTCTTCAGGTGAGACTGTGTGGCATTTTATTCTTTGCCCTAGATCGAGATGACACCTGAAGTCCGGCTTTTACTTAGAGCACGTAAAGGGACGGCTGTGTGTTACAACCAGGAGGACGTCAGCCTGTCTGAGGACAGCTTTTAATGAATATGATGGAAACAAACACACAGAACATGAAGCAGCAGAGTATTCTGAAATAAGGTTTTAGTCCTTTTTAATGGGAGGAAGGTATGGTGTGAAGTGACACGGGATATGTGGAATGTATTACATATTACTTGTTACCTTCATTAAAAGTATGCAGTACTTAATTACGTGTCTGATAAAGTAATTCATTATACTACTCGTGACATTACTTTGTCATTATACTGGAAAATGACGTTTCAAACTGTCTCATAATTACAGTTAACAACATAAACCTGAGGCTACAGCCCCACACACATTAACACATCCCATAATGAGGACAAACATGTGATCTTCCACCTTTGCTCTTATGTATGAACACAAATGGTAAATGGCCTGTATTTGTATAGCGCTTTAAATGGCCTGTATTTATATAGCGCTTTACTAGTCCCTAAGGACCCCAAAGCGCTTTACACATCCAGTCATCCACCCATTCACACACAAAGCAAAGATGGAAACCAGCACAAAGCAGTTGTCATTGTGATTAAACTGTAGAAACATGAAAAAGTAGAAAAACAACCTGACTGCTCATCAGCTTGTTACCTGTTGAAGTTCAGGCTCTGGCTACTGGACTGGGGTCTGCATACTCTCAGCTTTAACATCAGTCTGGGTTCTTGGCTAGCTTAGCGTTAGCACATGCTAGCTGTGTCCAAATTCAGAGGCTGCATCCTTCTGAGGACCCGGCGCACACAGACTGCGAAGGCCAGGTCCTCAGGAGGTCAGGTAAGCCAGAAGTAAATTGAATGGTCCAGCCTTAGACTTGCGTCACCGCTGTCTCGTTGGAGTTTAATAAACTCAGCCCTCTGCTCCTTGCTGTCTAAAGTATAACAGGACACTGGAGTAAATTCTCAACCGTCTCACACTTTTGTTTAATCAGTTTTCTGTTTGACGTTTATTAAGCTGTGTGAAAACTATAATCTCAGCCAAACCAATTTACTCAGGAACAAAACCAAGCAGATATTTGAAGTTTACACAGCTGCATTCTCACCTAAAAATATGTTAAAAGTTTATTTTGTGACCCAGAAAGAGTAATAAGAGTAATATTAAAACTTTGTAGCGGCCACCATTGTTGTAAACTGGAAATTGGCTGAATTCTGGGATATGATGGGCCACGAGGGACACACTCGACCCATCCTTCAAATCTGGGGAAAAGGAGGACGCATTTACGAATCTGGATATCCTTCGTCGGGTCGCTGTGACATAATCGGCCTACAAATGCGGCCTCAGGAGGATGCAGCCCATCAATTTGGACGCCCCTGCTGTCTGGTTAGCTTAGCGTTAGCACATGCTGTCTGTGCAGCTGTGACATTACTGCAATACTGAAAAATGTAATATTATTATTGTTACACCCAACACTGGTCACTGATCAGAGTAACTGATCAGAATCATTGATCAGAGTCATTGATCAGTTCCTGATGGTGGTTGCTGCCTGTGTCGGTCAGACTGAACCTTCGGCTCCTCTTTGCTTTCCTGCAGTTTGAGATGGTTAATAGGTGACTTTCACTCGACTCTTTACATGACAGCGGCCGTTCTAGTGACGATGTCAACATATCTCTCTCTCCACCTAGTGATTCCCGAACCAAGACGCCTGGCGACCAATCAAATCTGTGGATTTCCGGGTCACCCAAAGCTGACAGCATGGAGGTCTGACATCACAGGACAGTGTCAGCAGGGCAGAGGGAGGACATCACTCTACGGTCAAACCAATCAATCATCTTCATCGCAGGGTGTTTACGGACAGGCGGCAATGTCATCACAGAGACTTCTTCTTCTGTACTTCTTATTCCAGTTTCCTTTCTCTCGTTTTATCAACCGTCCCTTTGCTCTTCTTCAATCTCCCCCACTTCCTCCTCGTTTCTTTTTTGCTCCCCTCTTCTTTGTCCTCCTTGATTACTCCTTTTCTTCCCTCCCTGCTCCTCCTCTTGTTACTGTCAGCCAGATGCTCCATGTTTAATTAAACGAGTAAATTGGGTGAAGTTAATGCGTCCCTCGGGAGGTGGAGTCACAGCAGAGGTGCGTTTGATTTCACAGAGAGCTGATGAAGCAGCTGCTCCACGGAGACGGGGGGTGTTAACAGACCAGTTAATAACTGAGGAGAGTTAGAGGGTCGGAAAAGTTTTCAAGAAAATAAAATAAGGGTGGAGCTTGAAGCTGAATGAGTCCCTCTGAGGATCGCGTCCTCGGATCACTGATTGGTTATTCAGACTTATTCAGACACAGTTCAGATGTGAGGGATCAAAAACTAATAATACTCATGTTTGTAAAATGCTCTCTTCCTGAATATCAGCTCACCTGGATCAGCCTCAGGCTCCGCACACGTTGTCCTCTGGCAGTTTTTATGGTCATGATCGGGCAAGTGGCGTCCCGAGGCGTAACAACCGCTGTAACTCAGGTGTGGAGATGAGTTTCAGGAGGGCCACCTAATACTCTGCCTTAAGTCAAAACACACCTGAGCTGTGGATCAGAAACACAGCTGTCAATCAGTGTGACGGTGCTGCTGAGGATGACGTAATTGACTGATCAACAGCTTCAGTTTAAAACACGAACACTCGTCAGAGCCCTGGAGGACGTTTCACCTCTCATCTGAGAAGCTTCTTCAGTTCTAAGGTCAAATGTTGGGGA